ATCTGTGAGACCCTATTCTTTTCAAACCTCTTTCACAGAGACTACCTATTTTTTTTTTGCTTGAGGACAAGCAAAAGGGTAAATCTGGGGGAGTTTGATATACCATGATTTTGACCCGCTTTTAGTCATGGTATATTGGTACTTTTACCTCTATTTATTATATTATAGAAGCTTTTATGTATATCTATAGGTTCATGAGTATTTTGGAAGAAAGTGATGTTTTGGAGCATTTTAGAGAGAATTAGAGAAATCACTCGATTTGGAATCGACCAAGACGATCGGGGTTGACACGGAGTGACTCACGTCGATCGACATGCAGCTAACATGATCGATCGATGCCGAAGGCGTGGAAGACCAGTACGCGAGATAAGGCAACTTGAAGCCCAAACATCACCAAATGACAATTTTACCCGTGACGAGTTGTAACCTAAGTTTATATACTCTGCCAAAGTGTTAGAGGCAGAGGGAGAGTTTTTTTGTATTATTTTTACAGAAAAAGGTTTTTAGGATTTTAATTTGTGAAAAAGATCAACAAAGACATTTGTGATTGGAACTCCATTGTTTTCTATCTATCTAATACTATGCAGTTTTATTACTTTGCTTGTGTTATGAATTGCTTAGCCATGTCTGAGTAATTCACTTATTAGAATTTTGGTTTAAATAGGTTAGTGAGATTAGTGCCAACCATAGGATCGCTTGTTGTGGTATTCATTAATAGGATGTTCTTAATACTTAAGTTCTAGAATTGCTAATTAGAAACCTGAATCTAGGACTGTTAGGTTTTTTAAACATCCTTGAATAACTTTGATAGTCTTGAATACATCCTAATTAAGCTAGGATTTTACTAGAGATAGAGCGAAAGTTTGATCTAAGGATCCATAGTGAGTGTTTATTAACTCGTGTGTAACCCTTGGCTAGCTGCATCGATTGATATTCCCATTGGAAATCAATCGATGTCGAGTAAAGTGAATCGATCGATTTTCCTCTAGAATAATCGATCAACACTATCATTGATCGGACATTCTTGTCTTTGTCGATATTATTCTAGTCAACAGACTTATTTATTAAATGAGAGTTTAGTAAATATGTTGTTAAGATAGTTATTGGTCTTTTATACCATGCAAACAACTAGATAGAACCTATAGGATTATAATCTCCAACACCTGAATAATAACCCTAAGTCTAACACCTTTCCATTTAAGTTCAAAACACTCTTGTCCAGTAATTGTTTTGTTCAACTAGAATATTTCCTATTTATTGTTTACTTGTCTACTGCAATCTACTATTTATATTCACCTAGTTTTATTACTTGATTAGATTTAATAGGTTTTATAGCTCCTTGTGGATTCGATCCCTAAGTACTGCAATAGATCTTTTATCTGAGAGAGTAAGTTCATAGGGTAATTTGAGCATGTATCACACAACAATACAATTGAAATTCAGTTGACAAAAATGGACTTTGTTAATATGGGATTTGATACAAAGAAGTAATCGAGATCGAAAGTAACAAAGTAAGATCAAAACTAGAACAAGTTTGAGACCAAGAAACAAGGTCGATAAGAGTAATGGTAAGCTCTATAGTTCTTTGTGTGTCCTATGTTCTTCGTCACTCTCTCCTTATATAGTCGATCCCTCCTTGATCACCTTAGCGATCTCTGGTCTTTTCCTGCGTCATGAATCTTTTGGCTTGTTTACACTTATCAGCCACGATAAGACACTATTTGAAAAGGCTATGATCGTATAACCATGTTTTTGTGATTTTTCGTGACTACAGTCTTATTATACAGCCACAAACTTTTTCCAATAGCTACAAAATAAACTGTTGCTATGGCCCATTAGTTTATAAATGTGATGGCTATAAAACGTTTTGAAAAGAGGTTGTTAATGGGTGCAATAGAATATAGAACTTCTTGATTTCTTCTCTTTATAATATATTGTTTTCTATAGTTAGAAAATATAATTTCATAAATAATAGGAAAATCTATTATATTAACATAGATTTTCCTATTATTTATGAAATTATATTTTCTAACTATAGGAAATTCTCTATTTTTCATACTATAATAGAGTATTATTGGAGGATGGCGACATGGCGATAAGGAGGGCGACAAGGGTTCCAGGCCTCGAGACGTCTTTCTTTGCTTAGATCATCACTCTTTGGTGATTGAGTGGTTGGGAGGATCTTCATCTAGCGTTACGTATTGTCTGGAACAAATCTTCTGTTTCAAGGATCGATCTTTGTCGTTTCCTTAATTAACAAGTCACTCATCATCTTCTTCTCCGGTCACTGTCTGAATCACAGAAACGAAAGACGGCTCCGATCTCACTTTTCCTCTGCCGATCTCATTTGTTTTATTATTGGAGGACGGCGACATGGCGATAAGGAGGGCGACAAGGGTTCCAGGCCTCGAGACGTCTTTCTTTGCTTAGATCATCACTCTTTGGTGATTGAGTGGTTGGGAGGATCTTCATCTAGCGCTACGTATTGTCTGGAACAAATCTTCTGTTTCAAGGATCGATCTTTGTCGTTTCCTTAATTAACAAGTCACTCATCATCTTCTTCTCCGGTCACTGTCTGAATCACAGAAACAGAAGACGGCTCCGATCTCACTTTTCCTCTGCCGATCTCATTTGTTTTCCCACCAGAATTTCGATCTCGTTGATCTCATCGACACATAGTCTCTGCGACATTGCCGTGGAAGCTTGATCTCACTGTTCCGTTATGTATCCGTCACACTCAGCTCGTATGGCGGAGGGTAGTGGTAAAGGGAACACCTATGACATAGAGGATGACGATGCGCCCATCCAACTAACAGACCAAGACGACGCGATCACTATTCGATACTATAAACTCTCGCTCACCGGGAAGATCCTAAACCCCAAGAAACAAACAGTGGAAAAACTGATTCAAACCATGCCTGGACAATGGGAGATGCAGCATAAGATCACTGCAAATGATCTTGGCAACGAAAAGTTTCTTTTGAACTTTTCTAATGAGCAGGATCTTAAGTCTGTATTAGCACAAGGGCCTTTCCACTACAATTTTTGTATGTTCGTGCTTGTTCGTTGGGAACCGGTAGTTCACGATGACTACCCTTGGGTAATACCCTTTTGGGTGGAGATAACAAGAATCCCTCTCCATCTGTGGATAAAAACCTCCGGAGCATTGGAAGTAGACTTGAGACTGTTGACGCGGGTGATCTCTCCGCAGGCCGTATGCTGATTGACATAGACTCCAGGAGGCCACTCACGTTTACCAGGAAGATTGCATCACCGGGAGGAGAGGATGTCACGATCAAAATCACCTATGACAAGTTGTTCAAGCATTGCAAAACCTGTCGAATGATGACATGAGATAGCGTACTGTCCTCTCAAAGAGACTATCCCGAAGAGTAATGGAGTGTTCACAAGGGTTCATGCCCCTCCAGCTACAGAGAATCGGCAGCCTTTGCTGCGTGATCAAACGAGCTTGGACAGACCTAACATGCGTGTACATGACCGATTGGGTTATCGACAAAACGGCTTCAACAGAGGATTGTCATCTTCACAAGAGCAACGGGCTACTCAAGGCGATAGGAGAGGTGAAAGGGATGTGTATCGTGAGGGAGGTTTTATGAAAGATGCTAGGGCTGCTCGTCCCACTGCAGTGAGGGATCATCATCAGTCTAGGAGGGTATCTCATCGGAGCTCACGATATGCACCTTATGAGAAGAAAAATACAACCCAGCGATGGCGGGTAAGGATTCACACTGATGATAGACACGGCTCAAATGAACGGCACGAGTCTTCTTCTCACCGTTCCTATTCTTCGCGTGATGATGGAATATCTAACCAGCAGGAAGTGGAGAATAAGGGGGAAGAGAATCAGTGGACCTAGGGCTGGGCAAAAAAACCGAACCCGAAAATCCGAACCGAATCCGGCCCGATAAAAAGAAACCCAAACCGATCCGAACCCGACATAAGTACCGAATGGATCTTGTTTTACGGTATTTCGGGTTATGGGTATTACCCGAACCGAACCCGAACTTAAATGGATATCCGAAAGAACCCGAAACTTTAAAACTCATAAAAAACTTGTATCATATCCAATGTAAATTTCTAATATGTTTTCCAAAACAGATTAATATATTATTGAGTATCTACAATAACTAGTTATGATATAAATAATTAACTCAAATATTTAGTCTAATGTATAGTGTTATTTGGTTATTATTAATGTTTATGATTGACATTACATTTGAAGTTAAGTTACGAATAAATTTGTTTTGAAGTTTATATAATGTTGTTTTTTTTTAAAGTGTAAATAGTACTTCTTACGTTTATAGAATTGTTAGTTGTTAACTTTAATTTTTTATGTTTCATTATGTATAATATTTCGTTCATACAAGGTTTTGGTTTGTCATTAATCATGACAATATTATTTTGAAGGAGAACAATATGGTTTGTAGATGCTAAACCATATTGTTCAATGACAAATCTTATTTGGTTGATAGACGAGTTTCACAATATCATTTTGAAGGAGAACAATATGGTTTGTAGAAGCTAAATACACAAATTTAATAAAATGATTGAAAATATAGTGAGTTTAATTGAGTATAAATTAGTATTTTTAGAACCGATAACCCGATTAGTATCCGAAACCGAAATTATTTCGGGTTCAACCGGATCTTGGACATGTTACTAAACCCGAACCGAACCCGACTAAACCCGAACCGAATCCGACCCGAATTTTTATAATATCCGAATGGGGCNTCCGAAACCGAAATTATTTCGGGTTCAACCGGATCTTGGACATGTTACTAAACCCGAACCGAACCCGACTAAACCCGAACCGAATCCGACCCGAATTTTTATAATATCCGAATGGGGCTGAAATTCATGAACCCGAAAAACCGAAACCCGAATGAACCCGAACCGAAACCCGATTGGGACCCCGATTGCCCAGCCCTAAGTGGACCAGTGGTAAGAGGCTAGCAAGCCAAATCGTTAGTCCAGCCCATATGCATCACGATGATCATGTCACTAAACGTGGAACTCCACGTATGCTCACTTACTCCCCTACGGAGAAGGTGTTGCCAAAGGATGCTCAGATAATAGATGCTTTACATGGTACTGACGCCATTGATACAAACAATATTGACGTGGAGTTTCAAGAAAAATCAATGACTGAGGGAGAGGATGGTACAGATTTGCTTGGCAAGGAATTATTGGAGATGGAGGCACGTAATACCCATACTACCGAGGGGGACAAAGCCAAGACTAATGAAGCATTACGTGGGAAGCCGAGACACTCATCGACTCATAGAAGGGGAGGAAGGTCTCGTATCCCCATGGGTATACAACGGAAGAAGGGTGAATTCCTCCGTCGAGGATCACCAAGGAGCCGCAGGTCCTCTAAGAATCTGCCAAATACTAATAAACAATAGGCAGGATCATCTAGGAATGTTCGAGGTAGCTCGCGAAGGAATAATGGCCTGGAGGGATCAAAAAACTCCTCCCATCTTGATCAATGAGGACACTCAGTTGGAACTGTCGAGGGATAGGGAGCAACCTCACAGTTCGACGCCTTACGGAGATGTGTAAGAAGCATCGCCCATGACTCGTGTTCCTTTCTGATACCAAAAATAGGAGGCTGCTATTGCAAGACATTCATACCGACTTAGGATTTGATCGCTTGTTTACCGTTGAGCCACGTGGTCTCAGCGGCGGTTTAGCTCTTTTTTACAATAACGATTTTCAAGTTAGTGTCTTATTTTCAAATAACAGAATGATTGACATTGAGACAGTCATTGATGGAATAAAAGTCTTTATGACATTTGTTTATGTGGACCCTGTAGTTGAGCGTAGAGAATTAGTGTGGGAACGCCTTACGGGTTTCTCAACAACGAGAAATGGAGCTTGGTTCATGATTGGCGACTTTAATGAAATTACCTAACATGAGGAGAAGGAAGGCGGTATACAACGCACAGACAGTTTCTTTCAGCCTTTTAAACAGATGCTTACTGACTGTGGAATGCTGGAGTTTCCATTTACAGGAAACATGCTTTCCTGGGTAGGAAGAAGGTCATGGAATACTACCGTTAAATGTCGTCTTGATAGGGCTGTTGGCAATGAGGACTGGCATGACAAGTTCCCTCATTCAAAACTGCAGTATATGAGGCTGTGGGGGTCGGATCATCGTCCGGTACTAGCTGACATTCTTAAGAACAAGCCTCAAAAATCGAAAAATTTCAAATTTGATAAAAGATGGCTTCAAAACGATGAGCTCAGGCAAATTATACTTGAAGGATGGAAATCACCAGATCTTCCACCTGATGCAAGTATTATGGAGAATATTGCAATTTGCAGACGAGCCTTATGTGATTGGAAACGGCAACATAATCTGAATTCAGAGAAAAGTGTGGAGGAGCTGAAGGAAAAGGTAGATTAGTTATCCTCCAATGATGATGCCAATACAGAGGAGATTGCAGTAGCTTTAAAAGAACTATCTGACGCTCTTAAGGCGGAGGAGCTGTTCTGGAAACAGAAGTGCAGGGTGTTCTTGTTAAGAGAAGGAGATAGGAATACTAAATATTTTCATGCGCTGACAAAGCAGAGAAGAGCGAGTGTGGGAACCAAAATTCACCTACTGCCGATTTCCGTAAAATAAGGAAACTTAGGAAAACCCTAATTTTCCAGAGGAACCGGATCTCTGCGAAAGGCAACTACAAGTCACCAAATAAATGCGGAAAATATGAAAACGTAATAAAACGAATTTACAGAAAAAGTAGATCTTATTTCGATTTCGCGTAAGAGCGTTGCGATCATTACAAGGGTTTACAAAGGCTTTGGCCGCAGGGCCATTAGCGAGTTATCAACATAAAAAACTTACACCTAGTCGAGTCGCAGCTCGATAACAAAAGACGAAAAAAGATAAGAAAAATGGTTTGATTGATTTCGGACTGAACCTTATGAAAGGCTGCCTACGTACCCCTTTCGAGGATCAAGTCGAACGTAGTTCAGTTGATAGAGCTGGACCAGAGATCGAACTGCATGGGCGAGTTCGTCTAGTAATTGAGCGCCAGTCATAGAAACCGAACTTGTCGAGAAAAAAGCCTAATTTTCTAAGCGCGGAAAAGTCCAAGTCTAGAAAAGTTGTAAAAGTCTCAGATGAGAGCTCTGGAATCCGTCCCCTGCTTCTTCCCTATGCCTCTTGCTTATATACTCCCTTCCTAGGCGGTTTAGTCTTTCCATTTCGCCCAGATTCGAGTTTATCGGGAATCTTCCATTTATCTCGATCTTTCCTTTTTTCCTGCGGAAATCTTCTATTTCTCTTCAAACTTGCCATTTACCTTCAAACTTGACTTTTATCCTTCAGCGGGTGAATCGTGAAAACGTTATCGTATCTTCGGGTTAGAGTTCATTAAAGTCGTGAGATGGGCTTTTATCACCTTTTTAGGACCTTCCGAGCCGTTTTGCGATAAATCCATTTTACGACCTTATACGAGACCGTTTCCTGATCTGATGCCGTTTTTAATAAATTCCTTGAGTTAATCGTAAAGTTTAGCTACGCTCGTTTTTTGGCTGATCGTTGCCGTTTTTACGATTCAATCGACGTTTTTTTTATAAAAAACGCGTTTTTTTACGATTTTTACGAAAAATTTCGAATAAATCGTATAGTTTAGGCAATGTTTTGTGTTTCGTCTAACCGTTGCATTTTATACGATTTCCTCGAGTTTTTTTCAAGAAAACAAGGTTTTACGGTTTTTATCGTAAAACTCGGACGATAGGACGGATCGAGACGAAACGGGAGACATTTCGATCGTTGTTCGGGGCATGATCGTGCCGAAGGACGTAAGCCTTGAATCGGGGTCGTGGGAGACCGAGGCTCGGGATAGTCGGCTCGACGTACGACGAGCCGAACCGGGCTGGTTCAGCTCGCCGTACGGTGAGCTACCCGGGAAGCTTCTAGCTCGCCGTACGGCGAGCTACTTGGGACGGGAATAGCTCGTCGTACGGCGAGCTAGTCGTGATGTGACTAGCTTGCCGTATGGCGACCTAGTCTTGGTCGAACTAGCTCACGGTTTACGGCTGTTGCGGTTTTTCTCGGTTTCGTGCTTAACTCGGACGATCGTGTAATCGGCAACGATTTCCAAGTCTTCCCGCGGATTCCTTTTGTTCGGAATTTTCTTTTATAAAACGATTTCTCGAGTTTTATAAATTGATCTCTCGAGTTTTATAAAACGATTTCTTGAGTTTTATAAAACGACTTTCCGAGTTTTATAAAACGACTTACCGAGTTTTATAAAACGAATTCCTGAATTTAATAAAACGTATTTTTATTTTTGCGGAGACTTTTAGTCATTGATTCAATCGTGACCGATTTTGACACCNGAGTTTTATAAAACGATTTCTTGAGTTTTATAAAACGACTTTCCGAGTTTTATAAAACGACTTACCGAGTTTTATAAAACGAATTCCTGAATTTAATAAAACGTATTTTTATTTTTGCGGAGACTTTTAGTCATTGATTCAATCGTGACCGATTTTGACACCAACAGTTAGCCCCCCAGCTCGCTAGAATCTTGAGCCTCTAGCGTAAGGTTCTTGCGAGTGGTTAGCAAATTTTAGTTAAGTTAGGCGGAATTAATGGTTGGAAAGGTCCGTTGAAAGTGATCTTTCCACTCTCCATGAAGCGGAAAGTGTTTAGGATTAGTGATGTTGTGAAGGCTCCCTACGTACCCTACTGAAGGGATCAAGCCTTTCGTAGTTCGTTTTGGAGTTAAGGTTTGTATGACCTGTTTCCTAGCAAGATCTTTACGGTCTGGTTATGTGTATTGGACCTTTGCCGGCCTTGAGACTAGCCTCGTGGGCTGTTTGCTCTGGCCGAGTGTGGCTGTTATAGTTTTCGGACTGGCCGTGTGCGGCTCTGAGTCCCTGCCGCTTTTGCGGCTTTATTAAAAATCAGTTTGCATTTTTAAGAGCGTGTTTTAATTCGTATGAATGTAGAGGGAAGAATATGAGTTGATATTGAGGGAGGTCCGTGAGTTGTCGTCTCGCATTCCTTTCCCATTGTGGATCGCCTTATTCGTTTGCTCGTTTTAGGATGTTTAGCAAATCAAGTGAGCGTTTAGATATAGACAAAGAGACATGCCTTTAGGATCTCGATTCATGCCTTGAGACGTTAGAGACCAGTGTGCTTGGTTTAGGGCAAGACCTAGGTTTACTTTCGGATTGAGGCTATGCGAGGACTAGTCAGCTTTTGTTTTGCCTGTTGCGATTTTAACCTGATTCCATACCGATTTAGAATCTGCGATATGTTCTCGGCTTATACGATTCGTCTGGTTGGAATCGAGCATCTAGCCGGGAACAATTTCTAAGTTGCCCGGAAGTGCTGACCAAAAGTTTGGATTTCTTTTATAGCGCTATTACCCTTGTCTCGGGTGTTCGAGAGCTATCTCTGCGAGATAACTTAGTTTGTTTAGGACTGTTGCGAGTTTGTTGTGATCAGCAACAAAAATTTTAGACGTTTACGTTGTTTGGGCCTTCGAAAGGATACGTATGTTAAGAAGTTTTGCGTATTTTATAGTTGCGGATAGACTGTTAGGTCTTCCAAGAAAATGACTTTATCGAGGAAGGTATTTGTGTCGAAAAACTAATCTCCTGGCGTCTGGGACGTCTCGCAGTGCCGAAAGTTAGTTTTTATTTTATATGCCACATTTCGTGTTCGGAACGTTTACGGGCTCGAAGATGTTGCGCGGTGTTGCTAGGGCTTTCTCTTAACCCTGCTTTGCAGGAACACTTTGGTTCGTTTGCGTATATTCGCAATCAAAACTCATGGTCCTGCTTGGATGTTAGGTAGTTTTATGATTTGTGCTACAGCAATTAGGACCGAGAGGTCGCGTAAGTTGTTTCCCCGAAACGAAGTGTTTTTCATTACGATGCTTTGTGAAGTGTTGACCTTCCGAGATTCGTACGGCTTCGGGAGCTCTTTTACGAGTGTTGTCTTACACGTCAGATTTTGTAGGCAACTTGCTTCGGAGATAGAGTGAATCGTGAGAATACATAACTTAGCTGATTTTCAACAAGTTTGCATTATCCGTTGAATGTATTGTCTCGGCGTGGAGGTGCTATTCAGCCGCACAGCCAAGGTCGTATTTGGTAGAGGATTATACCATGACACTTTCGTGCTATCGATAAGGTCGAGTTGGTTTGTAAACTTGGCATTAAAGTGAAGCGTGATCGGACAATAGCCAACTAGCGTTTGTCGAGCTTGATATGCCAAGTATGCCTGTGGTTATAGAAAACGTTTTTCCGTTGTAGGTTTGATTTATACGATCAAAGTTTCGTATAAACTTTCATTTGTATGGAAGTTGTTTCTTTTTTTACTCGAGGGAGATAGAGCCTAAGAAGCTCGATGCAGAGCTCGTGCGGAGTCGCTAACGGG